AGATCAAGAATCCAAAAAAGAACATCCCTACCACTCAGACTCACCACCCGATCAACTAACAAAGAGATTAGAAGAATATTTCGTCGACTCTCTAGCAGAAAGAGGCCGACTAAAGCCAAAGGAGAAAGAAGAAGAGGAACCTTGAGGAGGAAGGACTGAAGCCACAAGACTAAATTTTAAAGACACTGAGTGGTAAAGACGAGGAAATTGACTCACAAAGAGGTCTATGGCCAACCACACATCCTCCCAAAAAAGAGCATTAGTCCCATTTCCCGCCGAAAATTTGACATACTGGGAGAAGAAACGAAGTCCAGCCGCGATCTCTTTCCAAGGATTTCTAAAAGTGCCTTTTAAACTCCTACCTGAAACCCAATTGAGAGGGTGAGAACCATATTTACTGGCAATAACTTTATGCCACAAAGAATCCGTCTCCATAGAGTATCGCCACAGCCACTTAGCCAACAAGGCCTCGTTACGATGTCTCCGATTACCACAATGCCCAAACCCCATAAAGCCATTGGCTTAGACACGACATCCCAACAAACAAGTGAAAAATGTTTCTTTTAGATATGCTACTGAGTGAATTTGATAAACATAATTTTTTCAGAAGGGAGGGGTGACTAGGAGTAACAGGTTATTGTGAGACATGATAGATAAGAGGAATGAAGTTTGAGTTCCACCAACCTCTCCAAGGCGACGAAATGCACCATAAACACCCCCAAATATTGTGGAGAAAATGGCATACCAAATCTGCACATCCATGAAGTAAACCTACAAAAAGTAGTTTATGTAAATTAGTCGGTAGAAAGAAAACTATGCTTTGAAGAAATGGATGAATGAATCTGATCTTTGAATGCACAATCACGTACGAGAACAATGGGAGCCCAAATTGAGATCACGACACCGATGTTATTCTCAGCTGCAATAATAATTTTTTTATAGCAATTGTAAATATAATGAAAAAATTTTGTTTCATTGTCTAAAGTGGGTAAAAGATTATTGCTCAAGGGTGTTATGATATGCTCTAACCTCTAGGGAAGAATTCATGCCATTGATATTTTCCAATCCGAACTCGCATTATGGTTTTTGTTGGACCCACAAGTGGCTTAATCTGCAGAAGCCAACAGTAGTAGTAATGGGATGCACAAGCATTAAGAAAATTTCCAAATCGCCAACCAGATCATGAAATTTTGACAAACCATTTTTTTAGTACACTTGACAAGCTTTTATTTTCCAACAAGATAAAAGAAACAACAATGTTCAAACTCCTAAAAATAGTGAAAAATCGAAAAAATTAAAATAAAATACAAAGTTCTAGAAAGATTGCAAATCTCTCAAACCTAAGGCCTTAAAAAACAAATAAAGAAGGGGCAGGACCTCCATGGAACTATGGACCAACGAAGATTAAGAAGAAACTCCTCCAAATCTTGCTCTGTAAATAGACAGCAAAAAGAATAGACCTCCCCATAAAAACTGTCTGCTATTATAACCAATAAGCTACCAAAAGTAACCACTTCCTAGACATTCAAACATCTGTCGAACCAAAAAGAAGAGAGATCTTCAATAATTCCTAACAAGTCAATTGGAGCCTCTTTTAAGTGGAACAATGATGTGAATAAGGAAGAAACAACCCAAAATTACTCTGATCTTTGTGATGATCCAGATCAGAATGAATGCTACTAAGGCCAACTTCCTGATACTCACTAAAATCTGAAAATTCATATTCTAAAGTCTCTTTGACAATGTCATAATTGGTTGAATAAATAAAACCTTGAGAAAGATGAATCTCCTTCAAAACGATAGATTGATTTTCTCATTAATACATGGCCGCTTTTCTATGGAGGGTTCATCCATGAGCTGGACATTAAATGAAGCTTCATCAGCCAATTTTTCTTTGATTGCAACCTCTGATGCCGCATTAAAATTAGAGGTTTCTAAAATTTCTTCATCATTTGATTCATTTCTTCATCTTCCATAACAATGATGCGATATACATCTATAATATTGGTGGAGTCGATGAACTTAAGGGTGTCTTTTCATATCCTATAAGGAGAAGAGCTTGCTTGGGAAAAATAAAAACCAGCATCATCCTTTATTCTTGTGAAGAAATTGTGCAAACTGATCTTTGATTTCAATTCAGTGGGAAGAAAGCCAGAAGAATTCTTCTTTACTTCATTAGAAGCTGAGCTACAATCTAAGAAATTCAAAGTCTGAGAGGAGCAACTGACTAATCCACCGAAATAGCTTCCAAAAGCTTTAAAGCATCTGCTATTCCAATATGTAAGCAATCCAACCACCATAACTCATAACAAACTAAGGTTTGCTACGTTTTTTTTGTTGACCACTTCTCAAATTTAACAGGGAAAGGACCAATTTTCTTCCGTTTTCCATTTGTTCCAAGCCCCTATAGCACCCTCTCATCCTCCATTTTGAGAAGAGCTTTATCATCCATAAAAGGATCTATCAAACAATCAGCTTCAAAATGTTTCTTCAAGATAGTAGAAATCTCCCTCCATTCATCATGGACATTAAGTCTCTAGAGATAACCACCAAATATTGCCACCCCATTTCCACCATTTCTCTTTCCTTTTTGACCCGATAAGCTTGTTGAGTCCCTTTTGTGCCCTTATGAATATTCTTCAAGTAATTCGGCTCCTGCATATATTACTTGTCAACGAAATCTGAATTGGTTTCATTAGTCATAAGGGGAGGTATTCAACCACATTTTTCTTCGAGATTGAGTTTTTTATCATTTCTCAAAATACTAGCCATCCTCTTTTGTTGATTCCAACTAGAACCACCACCCTACCCCTCTACCTGAATTGGAGATTGAAATACATTCCAAAATCCATCCTTTATGACTAAATTTCTTCAATAATCTACATATGCCAAAATATCCTTTTGCTTGTCTAAAGAAATGCGCTTTTAACGGATATTACATCAAATGAACTATGATATCTTCAAACCAATTAAGTTGCCTCTAATCAATAGAGATGTGGGAATGAATTTTACCTCTTTTTTCTTCCAAGTTGAAGAAGCCATTCAACATTGGCCGGATGAAGGCCTTGTTTCCAACAAAGAAACTAGTAAAATCCATGATTAAGACAACTTAAAAATGGAACTTAATCTTCAATAACAAACTAACAACTGAGATCCTTAGGTAAATAAGGCTTCAAAGACTAATAGAATAAGGCTGGTGAAAATGAAAATACTAGAGAGAGAAGAAAGAGAAATGAAAGAGCCCCCATCCTCTATTAGCTCCCTAGGTCCTTGACAAGCCATTTATCAGTACTATTGTATGAATCATTGTTTTATTAGATTTATAAATTGTGTAACTATCAAGGTGCCTCTTATAAGTTGTTGATAGGTGTGTACCCTCCCTACAATCCATTCATGAATTCATCTCCCATTGTAACAACGTTAGCATGGCATGTATTGGGCTAATACTTTCTTAGACTGAATATAAGAAGTTAAATAGGTGTGTAAAGTGTACACAGCAATGTTATTCTACGTAAACCAGAAAAAACTTATACAAATTGTTTGAGTTATTTCTAGATGTCTTTGTCAATGGAAATGTTGATAACTAACCACCCTAGGTTGACCTAGTGTTATTGGGTCATATTCAAACCTCGTGGTGGCAACCTACCTAAGATATTAAACTCCTGTGGATATTAGAATCCTACGAATTTCCTAATAACCGAATGCCAACTTAATGCTCTTAGCTTCATTTCTCCATTTCATATGCTTTATGACATTTTCAACTTTATTGCTATTTTTCATGGTTTGGAGCCTTTCAGGTGGCTCTCAATTGGAACATACCAGTGGGCTGTTACAAGAGCCCTTCGTTTGGTTTTTCTAAGATTTGGTGTTCGGTGAAGAATGTTAAGTGCATAGGCCTTATGACATTTTCAATTTGTCAAATTGAAAAAGGTTTGTATACACTGGCTTTCTACTCATTAAACTGGAGCCAAATTTGTCTCAAGATGTCTTGACCCTGCTTCCATCCTTGTACAGAAAATGTGTTCGTTTGAACCCATGTAATTTTGAGAACCGTCTCAGGGTCTTCCACTGAGGCAGAAAAGAGACTTTACCACCACACTAGCTGAATTGTACAGACTAAGACAGCTCCTTTGTGATCTACACATCTATTTGTAGGATCCTCTTTTTCTATGGTGTGACGATATATTCCCTTTAGCCAGTGTGAGGTATTTTCCTCACTAAACTTTGATATTCGAAAGGAAAAAACAGACCTTAGGCTTTACAAGACCAGCCAACCTGAGGGGACTAGGTCTCTCTCTACAGCTATGCTTACACAAAATGCCAAAAACTGCCTCCCTAATCCCGAGGATCCCCTTTACATACATTCCATTTCTCCCCAACCGTACTCCTAACTAACTGTGCGAGAAATTCCCAAAACACCCCCCACCCTGCACCCTACCTCTCAATTTCCTCTTCTGCCCTTTCTAACATAAGTATTGAATAACCGATGGCCTAACAACACCCCTCCCTTTGAAATCCACCTTGTCCTCAAGGTGGGTGTCCAGATGCTTTGCGAAGAAGCTTGGGAACTGCAGTTTGACCTTGTCCAACTTGATCCAGGTCGCCACTTCTTCAGGTAACTGTTTCCATGCTATCGAGGCCTCCTCCTTCCCAGTAGCACCATTTGTACGTGTGGCATATACCTCTGCTGGTTCCACAACCCACTCCATTTCTTCCAAGATCCAGGAGTCAGTGGCTGGATAGTGTAAGCATTGCCCACGACCTTTTTTAGCTGAGGCACGTGGAACACAGGGTGGATGTTAGACTCCACAGGTAGCTACAGCTTGCAGGCGACTGCCCCTATGCATTGAACAACCTCGAAGGGTCCAAAGTACTTTGGAGCCAATTTTTCATTCTTTCGATGGGCCACTGACCTTTGTCGGTAGGGTCGTAGCTTCTTTACCATGTCTTCTTTTCTTTTATTTCTCACC